TTAAAGGATTTAAAAAATTTTATCCAAAAGGTAGAATTACAAACAGAAATGACAAAACGCACACACACATACACAGAATGAGAGAAAGAGACTCTTCTGTCTACTGATTCATTCCAGAAGTTGCCCCAGTGGCGAGTTGTCCCAGGCAGAAATCGGGGTCCCAGAATGCTGGCGTCACAGGTAGTGGCTTCGCCTGATAACACCACAAGGTTGACCCCAAGAACTGGATTTTTAAAATGATCGTTTGTAAAGCATCTTTTAACTGCTTACTAAAGTGATGTCACTAGCACATTGTCAGAACACTCGGTGTTGTAGCAGATGTTACTCCTCTCGCAGAGGAGAGGTGGGATAGGCAATGATACAGGGATAGGAGCTGAGGGACTGACTGGGAAGCTTGCAAACATCTTTTTGCAAGAATTTTTAAGTCCAGAGCTAATATACAAATTTTTAAAGAAAATAAAGAAAACTAAAAAGTGCAAATCTCCTTCTCCATGTTCCCCAATTTCCTCCCATTCAACTGCCAAGAATTAGTGATAGTCAATAAAGATATGGTATTGGTAATCAACATGGATATTTCTATTCCTTTTTTTTAAATAATCACCTGAGGTAATCAATGTCCCCTGGATATTTCTATTTCTTTCAGAATTTCCGTTTGTATTCGCACGAGATGAAAGCTCCTGCCTTTGAGTGCTCCATAACCTCCTTGCCGCAATTGATAAAGGATCTTCCGTTTGACCCAGAACTTTCTTAATGACAGTAAAAGCATTAAGGACAATGTTGAGGCCATTCCAGATCATCACATATTTTACAAGATTAGTATGTGGATTTCTGGCTTTGCCTCTTTCTTGGACCTCCACAAAATCTCTCTGGGTTAGCTAGCATTCACTATTGTGGGAGAAAGAAGAAAAACGACACTGATGGGGAATAGAATAGAGAAAAATAAGGGTGGTCAGTGGGGAGTATACAACGCAAGTAAACTGTGTGCCCGCAGGTGAGCAAGTCACCTTCCTCCACGGAAGGACCGTGCAGACCAGGGGCTCAGCTGCAAAGCCGAGTCACCCTGGTTACCCCTAGCGTATTTGTCTCATCAGGTAGAAGCTTAGGTGTGAAAAACCAATTATAAATTGATTTTATTTTGTTCTTCTAAATGTAAGTAAATTAGTATTAATTTTTAATTTTTTTTCAAAAGTGGACATGAAATTATGAGCTTATTTTTCTCTCTTAAAATAAGTTATAGTCCACTTGGTTTTCTTTTTATGGGTGGAAGAAAAAATTGTAAATACATTTACTTTATTTAGTTAAGAGAGAGAGACAGAAGGGCTAGTACCATGGCTTAATGACTAAATCCTCACCTTGGAAGCACCGGGATCCCATATAGGCACCAGTTCATGTTCCTGCTGCCCTACTTCCCATCCAGCTCATTGATAACAGCCTGGGAAAGCAGTTGAGGATGGGAAAACCTTGGGACCCTGCACCCACACAAGAGACTCCAGAGAAGCTCCTGGCTCCTGTCTTCAGATTGGCTCAGCTCTGGCTGTTGTGACCACTCGGAAAGTGGATCTTGGAAGCGAAGAGCTTTCACTCTTCACCCTCCTTTCTATAAATCTGATCTGCCTTTCCAATAAAAATAACTACATCTTGAAATAGAGAGAGAGAGAAATAGAGACAGCCAGACAGTGATCTCACTTCGGCCAGTTCACTCCCCTAATCCCTGCAGCGGCTGGGGCAGGGCCAGCTAAGGTCGGGAGGCCCCAGTCCTTCAGTCCAGGTCCCCCACATCGGTGGCAAGGACTCAAGTACTTGAGTCATCACTGAGACCTTGTAGGAACTGCATTAGCGGGAAGCAGAGTCAGGATCAGAGCCAGGACCCAAGCTCAGGGACTCCAGGGTGGGCCAGGGGTGTCTCAGCCACGGTGTTAATCACTAAGCCTACTTCTTGCCCTGGCTCCTAACATCTTGCTTATTGACTTTGAAGCATTTGTTATCAGTATTTTTTAAAAAGAGTCTCTAAAAATCCCTTTGTAAATTGCAAAGGTCACTGTTATTATCGTGAAGGAACCAGCAGATGAAAATGAAATCATAACTTGAAGCTCAGTGCACAAAATTCGTGCAAAATCAATTCGACAGCTACCATCAAGACAAACGCCTGAGTGTTTCAAGATTACAGTACCGAAAAGCATTTCTTTTAAACCATTCATATTATGAAGAGTCTGTGGAGGGGGATTTTCGTTCTCTTTGGTTGAGTCAGTCTCACTAATAAAAATGGCTTGGTCCATCAAAAAGCCCCTGGAGATGTATTTTTCAATTACTCATTTTGTTTACTCATTTGTTAGTAAGTCTTCTAACACTCTAGGCTTCAGTTTAGTCTTCTTTTCTCTCCCAACCAACATGCAGCAACCCTAAGTGGAGATTGCTCCTGTCCTCTGAGCAGCTCCACCCCCACCTCCGCTCCTCCAATCCCAGAGGAAAAAATGATACCGGCTCTGAGACCCTTTTACCAGTTGCAGCTCATTCCAGTTATGGGAGACAAAGAAATGCCTGGAGTGAGGTGCTTCCGTCTTTCCCAGACAATAGCTTTTGTCCAGAAGTTTGAGCAATTTACACTGAATCATTGGGACCTCACTAAAAAACAAACAAACAAACAAACAATAACATTATTCTTGACATTGGGCTTGTTGCAGAAATCATGGACCAGAACATTTTTAAGAAACTTCTTTTTTACTGCTTAAGTTATAGGATTATCTGGTGGCCATAAAATGAGTTTATAGGATGTAGGATTTATGCAATTATCTATATACACAAGAGCCCCAGAATAAGGGAGGAGAAGAAAAAATCTCTGAGCCTCCTGAAACGCTCCTGGGGAATGTTATTATAGAAGCAAATAGCTCAAATATTTCTCTTGCTTATGAAAGTTTGCCCAAGTGTTTCCTTGCTTCTTCAGAGGCTTGATTTTTTCTTGAATTTGTGACAAGTAAGTGCATTCTTTCTGTTTTCTTTTCTAGGTAAAGCCTAGGAGATGCTTCCCTTTCTTCCTTGTAGTTCAAGCTCTACCACAACAGAGTACATCTTCAAGGTTGGACCCCCAACAATGTCCCATCTGGCAGAAAGTGTTTCCCTTTGCCAAAATGTTTTCCTCTGATTCCCTTTAAGTGGCCAGCCATTGATGTAGTGCTCATTATGTACCAGAAGGCTGGCTTACCTAGGCATCTGTCTGTGCTTACTCTGCCCTGAGTGGGCGCTGTTATGGCCTCCATGTCTGATAAGGGAATGAAGCTTTAGAGGGACTAGGTACCTTACCCATGGTCACCAATCTTGTGGTAGAGCTTGGATGTGTAGTGGGGTGATTAGAAATTGATGTTTTCCTTAATCATGAGGAATCAATCGCAGTTTACCAGGAAAAATAACCTAATTTGCTAAAAGCTTTGGAAATGTCTTTGACTAAGATTTGGCCTCCACCAGACACCCTACTTTCATCCCAGGGTCGATCTCACCCCTGAAGTGTCTTTGTCTCTGCTAGGGTTTCCCACCACTATCTCTAACCAGTTCCCTCTGCCAGGGAGCCCCAGGGTTCCCACTCCTCCAGCCTGGCTTCTCAAGATTGGATCCTGGTTCCCCACATATAAACAAAAACCCTGGAGTGTGGTCTGAAAGTTCCTCTTTAGAGTTTAGTGTCACTTGTGAGCAAAAGGAAGTTACTCTTCCCATCTCTTCACTTGCTAATTAAAACCCAGCCACGCTAGTACTTCCTCTCTCAGCCCAAAAACCCCCACTAATTTGGTAAAATAACAGACAGAACCCCCGGCTCCAGCAGCTGTTGATGTAGTTTCCTCTAGGTTTTTATATTCTCTTAAGAAAAGTATCTGCTTTTGGAAGTATCTGTAAAAATTACATTGTGAGTTTTCACTGTTAATATAATTTGCAAAAATTGCAGTAAAAGTGTGTGTGTGTGTGTGTGTGTGTGTGTGTGTGTGATTTCACGCTGGAAATGGGATGACCTATATTAAAGACAGAAAAGATAAGAGAAAAACTGCTGGAATTTACACGGGCTTTTTATGTTGCGGCTTTATTCCATCAGATCTGAGCCTAGAATGTGGGGCGTGTTAAGAAGGCATTGAATCACTTGTAACTGTAAGTGCTGGGGTGTGCTGCAGGCTGGAGAAGGCACGAGGCTGGGGTTGGAGAAGAGCTTGTGGGCAAAAAAGGTGGTCATCTTTATCAATGACTCAGTGTAGCTTTGGCCTAGGAAGATTTTTAGGGCCTAATTAGGTATTCGGTTCTTGCCTTCCAGGGACCTTTGTCTGTACAAGAAACAGACTCCGGCAAATGAACAAAAATGCAGCGTCCGGAATGTGGTCGTTGTGTTCTGCCAGGAGCGAGCCAACGCCTTGTCTAGAGCTGGGGACAACACTTGGGGGGCAATTCTCAGACACAAACTCTTTCCGTTTTAGAACAACAAAGACCTCGTATCGCCGCACCCACGCAGGACCACACGGTTTCACACTCGTTTTATTATTAATAAAAAAATAAAGTTATTTACATATGTTCATTATCATGGTATAGGACAGCCTCGTGATAGCTGCTCCCGCCTCCTCAGCGGGGTTTCCAGGTACCGACCGACGGGGGCCAGCGGCTCACCGGTGGCAAGGGGAAGAACTTGGGCGCCAGAAGAAAAGGGGTTGGAGATGGGCGACCACAGGCAGCAGCAGGCGCCAGAAGGAAGAGCCAGGTAGGAAAGAGATGGGAGCCCTGTTGGGGCTGCTCGAGGTCAGGGAGTGCTTACAGCCTGATTCTAAAAAGGCAGCGGGGGAGGTTGAATCGGGTCCTGAACCTGGGCGGAGTAGGAAGCACTGGGGCCCGAGAGGGACGCTGCACAGGGGTGGAACTGGCCTAGGAAGCGGGTCTCAGCAGCACCCATTGAGCCGCCAACATTACTGGAGCCGGTTCGCCAAGCTCGTCTCTCGGTAAAGTCGCCCGCCCCGACGTGGACCTCACGTCCTGGGTATTCAAAGCGGATGCGAACGCGCTCTAACCTCGCAGTTTGTGCACAGCTCAGCCACTGCAGTGACTGTCCCTCTGGCTCCGCGGGGCTCCCAAGACGGGGCCGGATTTAGCGTCCAGAGCGCAAGCCACAGGCTGGCTCCAGGTTCGCGTCGTTCCGGAAAAAGGAGCTCTTTTCTGCAGAGGCGAAGGTCGTGAACCAGCTCGGCAGCGGCCTCCCGCCCGCCCCTCCCCGTGGTGTCCGCAATTCTGGAGAAGGCTCGGCAGAATCTTCTGCCCGCCACGTGGCAGTGCTCTCCTTCTCTGCCTTCCCTCCGCAGCCTCCACAAGCTTGGGATGAACGAATAATCCCAGTAAGTGAGTTCCAGTGCGATCTAAGCGGTGGTTCCACAGAGTCTGCCCGCAGCGGCAACTTCCTTGGTGTCGGGGTCAGGCCGTCCAGAGACTACGAACGGCCACGTCTGTGCAAACAGAAAAGAGAGGAAACTAAGAGAGGAGAAACTGGTGTCCCAAACGGAAACCGTGCTCGTAAGTGAACCCCAAATGTCCCGTCTTGGAGTAAACTTAGATTAATTATATCCGCCTCCAGGGAACTTGCATGACTTATCTCTAAAGCGGGATTTTAATTGCACTGTGCGTTGATTATGCCAATCGGTCCATGCATCCTCCTGGACTTTGCCCACAGGATGATTAGGGCGAAACTTGTAAGCCAGGATTTCATTTCATTTGCTTTCCCTCCCTCGCCCCTCCACACCACACACACACACACACACACACACACACACACACACACACACACCACATTTGTTTCCAAGCAGGAATCAGAGCTTCCGCAAGCTTGGATGTGATCTTTCCCAAGCTGAGAGATTTGGCAGGCCAGAGAGGGACTTTCCAAACAAATCCCGGCTGGGGACACCCTGCTATTCTGCAGCCATTAGAAACCCCAGAGCTGGGCCTTTCCTTCCCCTTGCAAAAGTGTAGAGCTTGCTGATGCAAACCATTGGACGGACTCCTGGCTGGAAAAGTTGAGCCAGTGAGCCTTGTCCGTCAGTCTACAACGGGAAAGCAGACTCCGTTGGGCCCCAGGTTTGGCCCGGAAGTAGGATATCAGCTAGTTACTGTCCCTGGACGAAGAACCATATAAAATCATCAGAAGGATGCAAATCCAGAAAAGCGGATGGTTGTTCTGCAGGAAAACGGATGGGCCCCCTTCCTTGATTTAGCGAACACTCACCTGGCCTCCGCACTTGCACCTCCCGTTATAGACTTCTCTTTGCCTTTCCCACCCTTTTGAGTCCCTCCCCACCTGTGGAGCCTATCAGGCTCCCGGTCCCCAGGCTGGCGCGGCGCCCCTACCAGGTTCACCGGGTGCACGTAGCCATTCTCGTAGCGGTCCTCCTGCAGCAGCTGCCGCAGGTGCGCGATGTAACTGGAAGCCAGCCGCAGCGTGTCCAGCTTGGAGAGCTTGGTGTCCGGGGGCACCCAGGGCAGGCTGGTCTTGAGCCTGGAGAAGGCTTTGCTCAGCACGCGCATCCGGGCGCGCTCGCGGGCGTTGGCCGCGTTCCTCTGAGACTGCTTGCACTCGGCGGCCGAACTTTTGGGCGGGAGGGGCTTCTTGCCGCCGGAGCTGCCAGCACCAACGCTTGCGCCGCTACCCCCAGCGGCACGAGACCGCTTCCTTTTGCAGCCTCCCGCGCCGCGCTCCTCTTCACCGTCCGGGTCCTCTTCCTCCGCGGACGAGTTCTCACTAGGTGAGGCGTAGCTGCGTTCGGATCCGCGCAAGGGCGGCCTCTTGGAGGCGGGGACCGGGTACCCCCGCTTCAGTCCCCGCACTTCCATCTCCTCCGGGTCGCTCACGGAGCCCGTGGACATTGTGTCGTCCACGCGCGTCCGCCTTCCTCCCCCAGGGCCAGTCTCCCGGTCTCCGCCTTCCGCTCCCCAGCGGAGGCGGGGACCTGGGAGAGCTCGCAGGAGGACAGGAGACCTGGGTCCCGGGGTGCACAGAAGCGAGGAGAGTAAGGTGGGCGGTGAGAGCAAGCGCGCCCTGCAGCTGACCCCGGGGAGGGAAACCCAGAAGTTAGAGCCGGGTCCCGGGCTCTGTGTGCGCAAGCATCATGACTGAGCTGAGCGTTTGACAGGACTATTTATCTGTACTCCTTGGAACAAACCACCCGGGGAAGACAAGAGGGAGTTACAAAGGGGGGCAGGGGCGTGGAAGGGGTGGGGAACACTTTTTGAGAGCCCAGCGGAGTGGTTGGTGGAGGCGGGGAAAGAGTCCGTCTCTGAAGAGCTGAGATCTGGGGCGCTGATACCTGATGGCCCTTGGGGGTGTCTGTGCGAAACCGAGTGTTGCAGAAGTGAGGGGAGGGGATCTTGTTAACCACCCGCAAAGCAAGCACTTCCTCCATTGGCTAATCTCAGTGGTGGGAAAAATGGCCAGACACTTGGATGCTCCCGGTTCCTCCGTTCATACTTCTGTCTGATTATTTTCAACAGGTCTGTTTTTTCACATTCCTTCCACAGGAATGGCACATCCAAGGTTTGCCCTAGGTAAGGCATCAGGAGAACCAACGGTGAACAATGCACCCGACAGTCACCTTGATCCTTCTTCAGTATTGTCTGTGATTTAGGAAACCCTGTTACCTTCATTGGTTCCTAGCCTCGTAAAGCTGCATGTGTAACCTACATGCTGTTTTAGGCTTCCAGATCCTGAGGTTGAGCTGAGTACTAGATGGGAAGCAAAGGCCCCAGATCAACAGGTTGGTGAGTAGAAAAAAGACCTTAAAAACCCATGTTTAGGATCCTAGCCCTGTTGGTGCCCCTGCCCTAGACACTACTGAATATTTTGTCAGATGTTTTCTGTTGTCTTCAAAGTTCTTTACTGTTTTCACTGTTACAACACATATGCTAGAGGGTTCTGCGTAATGCTTTGAGTTTCCCGATGACGAATCCATTGCTATTATAGATCACATTTTGGTGGACTGGTCCCTAGATGCCTAATGTTCAATCAGAACAGTCGTCAAAGCAGTAGAAAATGACAAAGCAGAATTCTGTCTTATGCCAACCAACCACAAAACACCCTGCCCATCTCCCCAAAGCAAGCAAACGGGAGCTTAGCTTGAAGGGAGTGTGTTGCACAGCCGTCAGGGGCTGAGTGCTTTGTTTTGGAAATGGACACCAAGAGCAGCCGCGGGTCTCCTGCTGTGCTTGGAGCGCAGGCCTCTGAGCTCCTGAACGGCTCTGGTTCCCTGCCCCCTGGGTTCTTCTCTAACTCTCCACAGGCTCCCAAGCTGAGCAGAGTCCAAAAGGATGCCTGTGCAGCTAGTACTGGACACAGTGGGATTAAAGCTGCGGGGCTTCTCTCGCTCTGCGGGTTCTTGCAGTACAACAAATACTGCCGACTTGGCGTCTGAAGTGCTACAACAGGTGGCTGGCTGACTGGGGATGACTTCATCACTCAGGCACCATTCCACCTTGGTCTCCCCCAAGCCTCTCTCCTGGGGGATGTTTCACGCAACCCCTCCCGTTCATTTCCACGGGCTAAAGTGTTTTCTCCGTGTAAGTTTTGTTTGTCTTTGGTTAGGGGTTGGACTCGATTCTGGGAAATCTGATTAACACCGTTCTTTATTTATTAGGGAAAGGCAGGGAGCATTGACCAAGTGTGGACATCTTTCTTGGGCAGCTTGAACTTGAACTTGACTCTAGGTGTGACTTGCCAGGCAAAGCAAGAAAAGAGAAAGTGTAGGGACATCTCAGCTTAGCTTTTTTGCATTGCATATTGATGACTCGCAGCTATCAGAGTAAATACATAGTCTCACATTAGGGGCAGGCATATAGGTTTTTAAAATCTGGCTTGTTTATACAGGTGCAGAACAAAGTCTTTCTTGGAAAAGATTAATGGTGGGGAGAGCGCTAGATTTCTCTAAACAGTCGCAAAAACTGTAGCCAGCCTCAACACTAAGGGTCATGGCCAGTTTCTTTTCCTTGAAGAAACTGGCTGACCCCAATCCTATTAGCTTATTTTTCATGGCACTTGCCCTCCCTCCTTCTTTTTCTCTCAAACCCTCCCTTTCTCTTCCTATCTTTTTTTCCTCCTCCTGGCCCCCATCTATTCGCTTTCAAGAAAGTCATCTATTTTATTTTTGTTTCTTCATTTCTATTTTTCTTATTTAATTATTTATCTCTTTTTTTCCCCCCAAATTACAGCTTGGCAATGAAAATTGAGACATAATTATTTTATATTAGCATGTAGTTTGCTGTGACCTGTTTTTATTATGTAACATCAGGCATTGATTTACACTTTCAAAGCACTTTTCCTTCAGTAACTGCAGTAGCACACACCACCCTCTCCTGCCCCAACAGCTAACACGTGTAAGTTTAACAATCTCTTTTGAAAGTGCAGTTTCTAAAAATTATTATTTTAAAAAGTTACTACGTATTGCAAATGAATGATAGAAACTTTATTTCTTTTTTTTTAAATATTTATTTTTTATTTTTATTACAAAGTCAGATATACAGAGAGGAGGAGAGACAGAGAGGAAGATCTCCTGTCCGATGATTCCTTCCCCAAGTGAGCGCAACAGCCCATGCTGCGCCAATCCGAAGCTGGGAACTAGGAGCCTCTTCCGGGTCAGCCATGCGGGTGCAGAGTCCCAAAGCTTTGGGCCGTCCTCAACTGCTTTCCCAGGCCACAAGCAAGGAGCTGGATGGGAAGTGGAGCTGCCTGGATTGGAACTAGTGCCCATATGGGATCCTGGTGCATTCAAGGCCAGGACTTTAGCCGCTAGGCCACGCTGCCGGGCCCAGAACCTTTATTTCTGTGTTTAAAAAAACTACACTGATTTCCAATTTGCCTATGCTTAACATTTTTAAATTTGCGACAGGTAGGTTGTTGTGTATCGGCTACAGTAATGACCACGTGGCCTTTTAGAGATCTGCTTTGTAGATATTTGATGACATTGCAGCTAAAGTCACAAACCTCAGTACAGCATTTCCTCCTCCTGGATTTCCTGTTTACTGGGGTGCTTTGGGCAATGTGCTTTTTTTGAGTCTCAGTTTTCTAATCTGCAGTTTGAATTTATCTTTTTGTAAAGAAGATACATTTATATACATATTGTATGTATAAGATTTATTTGGAAGAAGGCATATTTTATGTATATTATATATGAAGAACATATATAATATACTACACATATATGGGTATACTATATATCATATACACTATATAAAATTATATGCCATATCACACATAAATATACAATATAGTTTGTAATATTATATATAATATTTTAGATAATATAAAGCTATATATGAAGTCATATAATTATAATAAATATGTTTATATGTATTGTATTGTTTATATATAATATGTTTATATTATATTTATATGCACACCATATTTATATTGTGCACTATATATTATATATGTGTCATATTGTGTATGTTATATATTACATATTGTGTGTATATGTATATTATATATATGTGTACCATATATTATATATTATGTAGAACAAATAGACACCATCATAAGTCCATCCTTCTGTTATCTAAGTGTATCCTCACATTGTAGGTATGGGCACCCATTTCATTCCTCCAAGCTCCTTGTCACCTTAAAACTTTCACTTTCCATCTTGCCCCAGAAAGCCATATCTAAGACATATTAGATACTATATCTGCATCTGTATCTATGTATCTATCTATATTATACACTCTAGGTCATAGGAGACCTGGTTGCATAGTTAGACCTTTGCAGGTCGATCTCTTTTGATAGCAGGCTAATGATTTGCTTTGCCTTGTAGGCTGGAGAAATTGCCCATATGCATTTTCAAATTGTCTGTGCCTCTGATGTAATAAAACAGAGTTTAGATCAGATCTGGCTGACATGGAAGTCAAGTAGGACTTAATATTACTGAGAGCTGGAAATGTGACTACTCATGTACTGTAGTGTAAACAGTATGAATAAAATTATTAAATTGTAAAATATTTAATTAAGTATTTGAAATATTAATTATATGTCAAACAGTGATTACACTTTGGATATACTAGTTTAAATTAAATACTTTAATCAGTTTTACATATATATATATATATATTTCTTTTTATTTGAAAGACAGAGTTACAGAGAGGAGAGACAGAGAGGGATCTTAATCTGCCAGTTTACTCCCCAGATGACCAAAATGGCTGGAATTGGGCTTATTTGAATCCAGGAGCCAGCAGCTTCTTTCAGTTCTTCCACATGGATGTGGCAGGCCTAACATTTTGGGCCATTCTCATCCACTTTCACAGGCCAGGTTAGACTGTGACCAGAAAGACAGAGGCTCTCATTTACAAGTCACATTGTGAACCAGTCACATGATGTGCTCAGACACAGAACTTCTCATAGGCATGGCACAATGTCAAGTCAAGGTCTACCTCCCTCATCTGAACAAAGACCTGGACCCTGATCCTTGTTGAAGCCTGCTTCTGTCCTGAGATCACCCACCATGTCCTTATTCTCTGGGCTAGGGAATGAAGGAAATTATTTTTACCCTCTTCCCAGAATCCAGAGTCCCCTGTCATTCCCGCACAACCAGTTTAAGCATCCAAGAGTTTGTGACAAGAGGTTTACATCTCTGTCTTCTCATCTTGTGTGGGTATAACAATCAGTTAGATCAGTGCTTGGACACCTCAGGTCAGAGGAGGCTGAAGGTAGGACAACCTGAGACAACAGAGAATGAAGAATGAGAGGCTATTGCCCCAGCATAGTGGTTAAAACTGCTACTTGCAATGACAGTATTCCATGTGGGTGTCTGGTGTCCTGTGGCTCCACTTCCCATCTTGCTCCTGTTAGTGGTCTCAGAAAGCAGTGGCAGATGGCCCAAGTGTTTGGG